TGAGCGCTACAAATATACACTAGTACAAGTCAGTTGGATACTCCTCTGCATATGACTCCCCCCTCTCCTGTCTTACAGTAGTGCAGTCCTCCCACATTTGGAGGGCAATGTCTTCATGGCATTGATGTGAGCAAGTGCATACCTCATCAGTGGGAGGGCCTTGAGCGAGTGTGCCAGTATCACATGGCTGCTGGCCATCCAAGTTGAGATCAATCTGATGGTAGTCCAGCATGTCACCGGGGTCATGAACACGGATGACATTGTGCACTAGACACAATGCTGGGGGGATGTGAGCTTGCATGGACATATCGTAGTGAGGGGGGAGGAGGAGAATCTGGAAGCGATTCTTCAGAACACCGAAGATGCACTTGACGACATTTCAGAGCATGGCATGGCGTAAATTAAATAACTCTTTGTAATCACATGGTCTAAATAAATATCAGTACAGATGTATGATAGAAGGGGGAGTACATATGCAAGACGGCCACAGCCCCATTCAGCGAGATGATAGCATACTCCCCAATAGGGGACAAGTAGCTCATCACACGCTCCAAAACCAGCATCTGCAAGATAGTACTTACCCGCAGGGATGTTAAAATCCTTAATGTGAGCATCATGATATAAACATGCATCTGCTGCAGACCCCTCCCAGCCACTCAACATGTACATAAATGACATGTTGAAGCTACAAGCAGCCAGGCAGTTTTGGGTCAGACCGCCCTTACAATTGCGAGCGGCATCACGATCTTTGGCAGGGGGATGGCATGCAATATGAGTGCCATCAATAGTGCCAATGGTGTCAGCAAAATAGGGGTAAAATTTCGGCTTCTGGAGAATTTCCAGAGGTGTGGGATTGTCTGCATTGGGCAAGTGGACATATAAGGGATATAGGGGGAGAGGTGAATGCGTTGAGAATCCATTTATAATATCTTGATAAAAATCAGCATGTCTATCAATAAAATGAAGGAATGACACACTTTGATATGGTATCATTGGAATGTTGAAAGTGCTCACCAACGTGGTGCACAGAGAGACCTGTGACACTTGTGTACAGGAATATGGTGAGCTGCTCCTCCAGCTGGACATATCTGGAATTTTTGCATCCAGAATCACAAAGTAAATTCAGGAGAATGTAGAATACATGCTGCCGCACTCTGAGTTCACATCGTATACAATCAGGATGTCTGTTGAGTAATTCATTGACCCATCCCATCCCTGTCAAAGTGGAAGTATGGTAAGGTTGCTTGTTAAAGTGAGTATCAGAGTAAGAATTAAGGGTCTCGGTAGCAGCATTGAGCATGATGTTGACCAGACGAATAGCACCAATGTACATTTTCTGTATCCACTCCAGCTGGAGTATATCCAGCTCATTGGTGTTGACCACAGTGCTGCCATCGAGATTCTCATTATTTTCATCAACAACAGTAGTGTTGTCATATTCTGGTGGGTCAACGTCAGGGTTGTGCTTGTTGGATGACATTGTGGGTGCACAAAGGCTGAAGGGTGCGTGTTATCGATACATATCCAATATCACACTGATATCAGATATTCAAGGGCCGATGATGACAAAGCAACTGGAGATTTGAAATTTTGTCTAGTTGCGCAAATTTGAACCATCTGAACAGACTCTAAAAAATTTGGATGTGTGCCAAAATCTCAGGCAAAATTCTACATTTTATGTACCATTTTGAGCGCTATAAATTACAAAGTTTTGAGCACATGAAAGTTTTCCTCAGAATATCATGTAACTAGGGACATTTTCTGATTGTATCATAATCAATTTTTTGCAAGTTAAAATGGGGAACGTAAAATGTGAACTTTTAGCATGAGAAAAATGATGTGGGCACTCATTGGGCATTCATTGGGCACTCATTGCTGTTGGGTACTCATCAGGCATTCACATTTGTCAGTGGAAATGCACTATATTGTAAACTTGTGAACAACTAGAATATGGTAGTACCTGGCAGGAAGTTACATGGTGAGGTTAAGTAAGGGATGTAAGTGTATCCAGGTCAGCTATCAAGCTGAGGTCATCACTATCATCATCAGCATTATCTAGCCTACGCTGCTTGCCAGACACTGTGATTTCTACCCCTGAGGCAAATAATGACTGGGACTTTGTGACCAAGACTGGCTTGTACTTCTCTTCTGACTTAAGTTTTTGTAGAACAGCAGAGTCTGTGACAGGCCAACTGGATAAATCAAGATGATTGTTGAAAATGCCTATCATGGTGTCATGCGAGCCCAGGACCTTCATACCTATCTCCTTCTGGTAAACAGGGGAGTCCATCATGAGTGCATATGAAGCTGTCAACAGGTCTTGTATGACAGGGACTTCTTGTGTTGCTTTCTTGTGTGTGAGCCAGAATTTATTATATACTGTCTGCTGATGCTCAGTGATCCACATGTACCAATGTGAGAAGAACTCAGTGAGTGCATGGATGAGACTGTTGAGTGGTTTGCAGTCAACATACATAACATTGGGAAGATTGCTTCTCCTGATGAGCCAATCTGCTTTTGAGGATGATCCAGGATTGGTTTCGAAGACCTGTGTTATGAGTGATGTCCGGCGAACAATGTCCATGTATGTGTCATATCCCATATGCCAGACATAGATCCCATCATATTCCCACGCATTCCGGACCTATTTCTGGACCCCATATCCAACTCATTCCCAGATCCCCTTCCACTGTGTGCTCCATATCTAAGCAGGATTGGATCCACTATGGAATTACCCCTGAGCTCTGGACCTCCAGATATTTACTACTAGCCTGATCCATACATCCATATCCTGTCCACCCTATGCACATTCTGTCCAGCAAGACTTCTGGACTTTACCTCCTCTCAGATTCCGGACTACATCCACCACCTCACATATCTCAGTCTTGTTTCTGTTACGCTCAGCATTCATAAGAACGACTAGATGGAAACAAATGATCTAAAGCATACACCTATGTACGAGTTGTGCGAGTTAACCAGTATATTGCAGGCCCTGGTCTGCATAGGTCAAGTTAAAGAATACAAGCATAAGAGATAGAGTATATATAAAGAGATTAAAGCGGAGCTTTAATAAATGAATCAGAGATGAAAAGTAAATAGTGAATCAGAAAAGAGAAAAGAGAATCGTATGATAGAATGTGATAGAATGTCTGAGAATGATTAGTAATCGTGAATAAGTGAAGAGGTGAAAGGAAAAGATAGAACTGTAACAGTTTCTGCCTTGCCCTCTGGATCCCCAGGTCTCTGGACCATTCCCACCCTCCATCTGAGATCCTGTGCCTATCCCCATTTAGGCATCTCTGCCTTTCTGGTTCTTGGTTATCTCTGTTTCCATCTTGCTGATTGATCCTTGTATGAGTCTTCATCTCTGAGTTCATTTACTTATGTTTGCCTTACTCTGTTGCTTACTGATCCTCTTGGATATCCTCCAGTATATAACCCCTGTACAACTCCTGTAGAGTCCTCAGTCTGAATATCATTTTAGATCTGCCCAATCATCTTCCAGACTTCAGTCCATCTGAGTCTTGTCCTTTTCCATAAGGCCTAGGGATGGATTCCCTAGGCCAGAATTCCGGACCTTCGGATTTGTCCCCTATGTCTCTGTCCCAAGTCTAGGGATTGCTTCCCTGGGCTGGAGTCTTGCCTTTCTGGCACTTATCCTCTCTCTGGACTTTGGTCCACTTCCTGTCTCTCTGACTCTACCTAAGGGTAGTCTACCTCTGTTTGCTTCTACATTGGACAAAGTCCAATGTAGCCCCTATTCCTTCTGGACCTCTGGACATCCTGTCCTGTGCACCTTCAGACATTCCACCCTCCGTACCTCCTATCCTTCCATCCTGTTTCCTGTAGAAGTATTATTTTGCAGTGGGAACTCTCCTGAGCACTTCCTGCATTTCTCCGGAACTCTCCCACGCTCCTCTGGAAGTCCTCCCACACTCTCCACCAGAGTAGCCAGCCTCCAGAAGTCCTCTGGACTTCATTGGACCATCATTGGACTTCCTCTGAAATGAAGGGTACATACTCGGGTAAGGGACACAGCATATGAGCTGAGGCCAAGCCCCTCTGAGTCAGTCTCTCTCTCCCTTGAGCATGGTTCTTAACAGTACATCTCCTTGTACTTAAGAGTCATCCACAGAACGATGTAAAAACTGGACTCAAGGTCATCCTTGACTGAGTGTATGGCATATTGCCCCTTAGTGATAGCAAAATTAGTACAAGATTTAAAGTGCATAGAGTGAACATACCATGCATGTTGTTTGTCGGGGACTGTTAATGTTAACCAACTTTGTGAGGTCCCAGTCAATCAGGTAGCCCTTCCCTTTGTAAATGATGACATTTCCAACACTGAGGTCTTGATGGAGCACCCTTGCAAGTTCAAATGCATCCTTGTGAGCTACATTGATAGATCATGAATAAGTTGTGTGAGGATTAAAAAAACATGTACCAATCAGTGCATCATGCACAGATGAAATGAGTTGGTGAGAACTCTCAAACTTGGTCAAATTTTTGCCCACAATATTGAGGGCCAGATGGTGAAGAGTGTGTGGAGTGAGAGGTAAGTGGGGAAGTGCCCATTCAGCACTGCCAAACTTGGCAGTTTGAGTAGATTGCTGAGTGATAGAGGGAGGTACATCATGATATGCAATACACTTTGGGATATGGGAAACTTTTTTCAACATCAATAACTTGTACATTTTGCCTTCCAGTAGGACATTGGGTAATGATACCCACCAAGAGTCCTTGAACATCATGAGCTTCTTGTTGACAAGATCAAATGCCAGACATGCGCATGTCCAGCAGCCAATGAGTGAGTGAGGTTTCGTAACAGGTTGGGAAAAGACCAATGTGAGCAAGCCAGAGCCCTCGACATTAGGGACATCGACTTTGAACATATGAGTGGTACTGGGGATATTTAGCTGTGACCTTGTGAGGTTGGCCTCCTTGTCACCAGCAAGCATGATGGGAGTATCAACACCATGCATTTCAGGTGATGCCTGTGTGTAATGATAGAAGAAGTCAGCCAAGTCTGGCTTGTTATTGTAGTTGATGGCACTGCTGATGATAGCCCCCTCCCTATCCCATCTGATGATCCAAGCGTGATTATGCATGATTAGGACAGAGAATATGTGGGTATGGAACTGGGTGCTGAGCTGAGCTGCAGTATAACTCATTATTTGTCCCAGGGTGTTCATACCCTTCTCCATCTGGGACACAAGGCTACCAGCTCCAGAGTGATGGAATGCATCATGTGAGGGTGACCATTTGAATTCTATGATGATTTCTGTGGTAGAAACATTGCAGTTGGGAGATGAAGGTTCACATCCATCAGGATACACACAGACATCTGGCTTGATGTTGAATACCGTTGAATTTAATTTTGAACAGTTTTTCGTGTCTTTGTATTTGTGAGTGTTGACAAACAACAGTTGAGGAGTGAAAGGTGTGATGGTGTTAATCTGGGGTTAGGTGATCAATAATCTCAATAACATATGTGTGAGAGTATACTCACAAAGGGTGTGTAAGCATGTTCCTCATTTCTAACAGAGACCATGTGGTTGAATGTGCCAACAGTGAAGGCTGAAGGATCATAATTGGGAATTTGAGAAATTGGTAAAAATTCCTGGAGAAAGTCCCCAACTGGCATTGGGCTGATGAAGTATCCTTTCATCTCTTTACCCATAGCATTAATAGTTTCGAGCCAGCATCATGTTAGAGTCATAAAGGGCAGCATGGTAGAACTGTCCTGTTTGATAGGAGTATCAATGATGTCATTGGGACCTAGATAGGGGCTGTCCACAATAGGACACGTAACTGGTTCTATGGTAGAGGTACCTTCAACAGGCACTGCAACATTCATGATGGGTAAAATGTACAGGGTATGTGTGTGACAATATGTATAAGAGATATGGATATGTATGTACAGAAAGGCTAATGGCAATAATGTATGATATATTCTGAAGAGGGAAGAAGGGAAAAAAGATAACATCTACATTTGGAGCCTTTTATAGTGAATGACTCAGACTCAGTTCAGATTTTCCTGGATCCAGAACCCCACTGCAAGTGGGTGAATCTGCATTTTGAAATTCAGTCCTATACATCATGAGATATGACATGTGAAAAATGGGGAGGGATGTACTTGACACAAGGACATGGCAACAATGTGTTGTGGAGAAAAATTCCATTGTGCGAAGTGTGATACTACCCACTCAGGCTTGACAGTTTCAAGATGATTGACAAGCACTGTAGAATATAAACAAGCCAGAAAGTAAGGATAGTGTCTGAAAGGATCGAGGTGAGAATGCAGAGGGAGGTAACGCCATATGGCAAAGCCCACTACTTGCTCCATCTTGAAAATGTACTTGATGATCCCTGGTGTTGGGGGCACGTTCCTGATACCACCATGATAATAGAGGATCAGGCTGTTGCCTACATGGGTGGAGTCATGGGTATAGATGGATCCCTCATGGAATGTGCGAGCATGCAAGATTGCCTGCCAAACTTGGATGAGTTGATGAAGGTTGTCTGGAATGACTTGTTGTATAAGGGGGTGATCTTTGGACACAGAAATAGGATCAGTGTCAACTAAGGGAGACACGAGTCTGTCAAATACAGTGGCTTGCAAAACCATTACAATGTTTGGTACTTTTTCAGTGTACACAATATAGTGCCTATGCACATGGGAATCATGCTTAGTGTTGGTGGGGGCGTGTGAACTAAAAACCCTTGGCTACAGACTGACACTTTGATCACGTGATTTGGCCAAGGGGATGTGAAGATATGCCTATTTTAAGACAGAGATACCATTGTAACAGTTTTGCAGCTGTTGATATAGATGGTGGGATCTCAGTCAAATCAGAGGATGGTTACTGTTATTTGCTTACACAAATAAAAATATACATAAAAATATTATGTCTGAGTTTGAAATTTCTCCCATGCTTCTTTATTTTTAATCATTACCACCATGGGATCTCTCTCTACTACTCAAAAGAATACCATTCTCTTTTAGCTTAATGCTGGTCATTCTATTCACTCTATTGCCTCCACAACTGGTGTCAGCACTACTACTATCTCCAGGCTTCATTAAAAAGAGTGTTTCTACTTGCAAAAGTTGACTGGTGGTCATTCAACCAAGCTTTCCTCAGTCAATATTTGTCATCCTATTTGTTTTATCTTCACTCAGCAGGCAGAAACTGCTATCCAAGTGCTCAAATCTTTTTCAAATATTGTCAATTAGCCCCCCAACCCAAGTATCACTTGCTGCTACCTGAAAAAGCTGGGATGAGGGCTGTAGTCAAGTCCAAACACTCTCTACTGTCTGCCAAATATTGCAAAATACACTTGGACTTTGCCTATACTCACAAAAATTGGACTTTGGAGGACTGGAAGTTGGTCATATGGTCTGATGAAACCAACATTAATCACCTAGGGTCAGATGGTTGCACATGGGCTTGGAAAAAGTCAGGAGAAAGGCATAGTGACAGATTGGTATAAGGAACTATCAAGTTTAATGGAAGTTCTGTGATGATATGGAGCTGTATGACCTGGGAAGAAGTTGGCTATGCTGCTAAGATTGATGGTAGAATGGGTGGAGATCTTAACCTTCAAATTTTGAAGGATAAACTTCAGAATTTCCTGGAGTTTTATAATCTTAATGCTTCTGATGTCATCTTTCAGCAAGACAGTGACCCTAAGCATACCTGCAAAAAGGTCAAGAAGTGACTAGATGGGTAGGAATTAAGGACTATGGTGTGGTCTGCACAATCTCCTGACCTTAACCCATTGGAATATCTCTGGCACCTTGTCAAAAGGAGACTTGCAGAGTATGAGCATTCCTCTAAGGAAATAGTAGCAATGGTTGGGAATAAAGAAGCATGGGAGAAATTTCAAACTCAGACATAATATTTTTATGTATATTTTTATTTGTGTAAGCAAATAACAGTAACCATCCTCTGATTTGACTGAGATCCCACCATCTATATCAACAGCTGCAAAACTGTTACAATGGTATCTCTGTCTTAAAATAGGCATATCTTCACATCCCCTTGGCCAAATCACGTGATCAAAGTGTCAGTCTGTAGCCAAGGGTTTTTAGTTCACACGCCCCCACCAACACTAAGCATGATTCCCATGTGCATAGGCACTATATTGTGTACACTGAAAAAGTACCAAACATTGTAATGGTTTTGCAAGTCACTGTAGAGACTTCACCTCCCTAAACACAGGAGGACAAGAAGGTTGGTTTAGCCAATACTTAAGCTTTGCAGCCTTCATGTATGAGTGAAGGAGAGTGGATTCTTGCTGACCTGTGTGAGGCAGCATAAGTCTGTTATTGACACAGAAGTTAGAATCATACTGAAAATGTGATTGTTGGGCAACCATTGCAGCTGCACGATGAGACACTCATATGGGAAGTACCACCATGACCTTACCAGACCAAAGAGCTGCAAGTAGTCCCAAATATGCAATGCCATATGGCCATTTGTGCGATGGGGTGCATGTGGAAGCAATACCTGCAGATCCCTCATCCAGTTGATAATGCATCCACAGTATGCTTCTACTCAAGCTGTTGTCATAGATCATTGACATATGATGTGGATGGCAGATATGAGGGCCATCATATGATCAAGGATCACATGATAACTGACTGCAATTTCCAATGTGCAGTGAGTAGATCCCTCACCCCACAAGCTAACCAGAGCTATGGGTAAGTATAATGTTGTTAATGCATGCCATTCATTGGCCTTCAGGGTTCCAGCTTTTGTTTCCCCAAAGTTATGGGGGACTGATCTTATTGAGGATGGCATATCTGTCATCCTAATCACATCAGTAATGTGTTGCATGACCTCTGGGGTAGCAATGTGCAAGTTTGACAGCTCAGGTGCAAAAGGTTGAGTTCAACGCTACACAGAGGCAGCTTAAGAGTGTACAATAACACCAACAATATAAAATACTCACCCAACTGATGAGCAATCTAATCCAATAGGGTTTAAAGACTTTTTTGCCAGCATGAGGGATGTCTGGTGTGATGCCCAATCCTTCTGACACAAACCAAAGGGATGTAACTGTCTTGTTTAACAATTTTCTCTCTAATTGCATGAGGTGATCCTCAATAAGCTGTGGGTCATTCCCTTCAAGGTTGGGGACTGCTTCAGTAAGGAGACTCTGAATTGATTTGACAACTCTGATGTCTTTTTCTGGGAAGTCTTGAGGTTTGTTGAGGTCAATGTCAAGGAAGAGATAAGTAAAAGTAGGGATAACATTAGGTGCGATGTGTGGAATTAGATGTAAGGCCTAAAAATTCGCAAAAATGAGTGTGTGCAAGACCCTCCAGCAGGCAATGCATGGCATTGATGACAATTTGGTGAGAAGGATCCCAGTATGATAACCTCAAGAGTGTCAACCACCACACCCTGTGTGATGCAAACAACTTGTTGCATTCAGCAGAAGTTCCAGCATTCTTCCAGAGTTCAGCATGGCAGCACACTTCATCCTTGTCCCAAAGTCTCCAATCTTTAGACTGGATGTCTGTTTGACTGCAAGTCAATCTGTGCCAACAATGACAGGCAGTGCAATAAAAATGGCTCATTGGACCTACTAGCTGAGTGGCCTTTCTTGCTGCCAGGAGGTCACATACTAGACATGCTAGAGCACTGTGTGTAACCCAGCTGTGAGCATTGAGAGCTGTGCAGCTATAATGTATTCCATGTTCCCAACTTTCAACCATATCATCAACCACAGGATTGAGAAAGAAATTCAACTCATCTCCTGAAGGTTCTGAAGGTCCAGGGATAATACCAGCTAAGTACATGTTCTCATGTTTGTACTGGATATCAAGGGGGAGGTTCAAACATGCACATGAGATGATGCTGGTGGATGTTGATGCATTTCATTGATGATTGCCTTCAACATTGAAAAAATCAATGTTGAGTGTGAAAGTGTATCAGCCTTCATTGCCTCTGTCAATAAATAGAGACTGACTGGATGGACCCTGGAAGGTGTGAAAGAAACTTGCATCCCAAACATCCTTGATGATATGTGGTGTACTCCCAATGGAGGCTAGTAAATCATCACAAGGCCTATCCATCAAGGCCTCAAAGTTGGGACAAGACAACAATCTGGCAAGGTAGTCATGGAAGTGGTGATAAAGGAATATTTTTATTGGCTCAAATTGCCCATCAGTGGAGCACTGCAGCAATGGTTCACCACAAGGATCACCTTCTGGTATGGGTTTGTTGAAACAATTTGTGGGATATTGCACATTACTTATGTTGAGGTTGGTTGTCGGCTTGTAAGTACAATTGCATGCCAGACAGACTGTGTAAGTAGTGGTCTTGCCATCAAGCTTGAAGTGTGAAAGCGTCCTTTCCATAGATTGCGGAATCTGAGCAAGAGTGTTTTGCTGATGAGACTTGGAATGAGGGTCCTGTGCATCCATTGC